GAAGGTGCGTCGTGATCATTGCGCAGGCCGTGAGGCATCATATATGTGACGAGCTAGAGTGGGGAGCTTAGGCCGACCACTCAGCTTGCCAAGAAGAAGAACGGAACCGAAATCATGAAGAAATCGAGGGTATTAGATTGGCATTCGAGTGATTGACATCATCGCGGTGATGCCTCGGCTTACTGCAGTGCCTGGGGCAAGCCGCCAGACTCATGAAGCAATAATGACTGAGGTGTAGACAAAATATATTCGAAATATATTCAGCACAGGGCTACCTTCAGCCACACATACTTTGCTCTCATGACCAAATGATTGATTGTGAATCGAGCAACCATCCGAATATGTCTGCATACACAAACCTCGTGAGGCGGATGCTCCATGTATAGCCATCATCAGCTTGGTGGAGTGGCTTAGAGGCTGTCGGTATTGTAGTGGGGATTCCGTATCGTATCGCTCGGAGGTGGTTGCCAACCGGTGCTGTGAAGCTCCATCGCACTCGGGACAGCCAACACAATACAGTCCGTTGCATTGACAGCGTCCGCCCCTAACTTTGACCTGGAAGGAAAATTTTCTGCTAGCCTAAAACCCCCTAAATTACTATAAATTTCACACCTTAATAGCTCTATACGTATATAATATATGAGAATAAAAGAGATTTCGTCATAATTACTTAATTAAGGGCTATTAATTAATATATATTTTTATTCTTACGTATTATATACGTATAGAGCTCTTAAAGTATAAAATCTAAGGTAATTTAGGGGGTTTTAGGCTAGTAGAAAATTTTCATAATACCAAAAAAAAAAGACCTCTACTTAAAAAACTTCTTAAAATTAGTTTTAAATTTATACTTTAATAACTCTATATATATATATATTATACATAAGAATAAAAAAGATATTATTATAATTATTTAATTAAGGGCTATTGATTAATATATTTTTTATTTTTACGTATTACGTACGTATAGAGCTATTAAGGTGTGAAATTTAGGGTAATTTAGTAGTTTTTTAGTAAAATACCCCCTTTTTTTTGCCTTTTTCGGGCCATAAAGTAGGGGGTGGACGCTGTTAATGCAACGGACTGTAGCGTCTCTTCTCAGTTGGCTCAGCTGCAGCACGGCAGGGGCTGCTTTGCCGCTCGCACTTCAATGCCCTCTCGACTGGCAGCCTATCGGCAGTTCTGGCGCCTGCAGGGGTCGCCCAGCGGGTCTTTGTGCCTGACATTCGGCCGGCGGCTGTCTCTGCTAAACTCGCATGAAACAAAGTCTGGTCGCCCGTCATCCAATCAATCCGTCTTCGACGCCAACAACTGAGAACATACCATGTTCCTTCAACCCATTGCCATGCACTAGTTCTATCTGTTTGCAACTTCTCAACTGCAGCACATCCCTATTCACGTTACTTCTGCTATCTCTGTATCCATGTCTACACCGTTGGCCTCGCTCCCAGGCCCTGTCTTTTTGCCTCCCTCTGGCCTGGTCTATCGCCTCATCCCACCTCGAAGCGCCCCTTCATATGTTCGCTTGCTATTCTTTACAGGCCCCGCCAGCCGTCTGTGACTGGTCCATGATGGCAACGATGGTGGCCAGTGACTTTCAATGCACGATTGGATGAAAGCGGCCCACGCCACTCATGCCACACCCATGGTCTCTGCTTCCCGGGGCCCTGCTTCGTCTCGTCTTCGCTCTTGATCAGCCCGGGGGATCTTCAACAAAGCTGAACGTTCACAGGCCATCAGCAGCTCCGGCTCGAGTATGGGCTCACGCACATGCTGCAGGTCCCCGCTGCCCGACCCGTAAGATGGAAAGCAGAGGCCCGGACGAAAGACACCCGCCTAGACGCCTTGGACTTGTGGTTCAGCTGGTGCTGCGAGTGCTCGACCAGGGGACCTCATTGAAACCACGTCTGCTCGCAGGAGCACGGCAACGTCTGGAACCTCGACCGCAGGTACAGCAAAGCAAGGCATCTCCTCACGTTGCCGCCACCTCCACCGCTCTAGTGCCCGTCCACATGCCCACAAGCGTGGTGTTCCCATCCCATAATCCTGGTCGTGCTTCGTGCCGCTGCTGGGATGCGAGAGAGAAAGAGAGAGAGAAAGTAGAGATGGAGGAGGAAATGCTAGATCGTCTAAGCCGTTCGTGAGAGAACCCTTGGAGGTCTCCTCATCCCTCCTCATCGACCATCCCCCACCGACGCATCCCGGCCCTGAGGGTCCCTTCGCGCTGCTGAATGGATTGGTTGATGGCTGCGCGAAACTTTTACCTGCATTTCGAAACGGCGAATAGGGAGGGTCACCGGGCAGGCACCCTCGGTCAAACCATACCTGCCCTACCTGACTTGACTTTGCTCTTGTGTTCCCGTTCAAATAGGAAATTCCTAGTGACGCGCAGGAGGAACAATACACTGTTTCTGCTCTGCATTATTTTTTCTTATGCTGTCACCCAATCTTTCCCAGAGCTTAACAAAAAAAGGCCAGGCACTCGGAGCAACAAGTTCTTGTCCGTATTAAAGGAAGGAACTCCCCGTCCCTCCTTCCTTTGACATCGACTTCACCCACCGGTCCTTTGGCAGGCGCTTCCTCACCCCTCCTTCCCCATTGAACAGCTGTGGACAATCCTGTTCTTGGGTCTCAACTAATCCTGTTCACGTTCAGTCTTTCCTCTCTTCTACCCACAACTCTGTGTGAAGCTCTCCGTTGCACCACACCACTCTCCCTATATCAACGCACCTTCTGGACTGGTTTCCAGAAAAATTGTCCATCAGCCTCATAATCATCTCACATTCTCTCGACAATCTTGCGACAGATCACTAGTCACAATATTTTGGGTTGCTCAGTCTGATTGACTCGACTGTTTTGCTACGCCACGGCTCTCGTCACCCACAAACTCACAAACAGCTATCGACAGCCAGGCATCGGCCTCTCGTACGTATATATACACACACCATCGCGGTCTCGACACACCACTAACCATGCCAGTCAACATTTGCGACGTCCCGATCGTCAAAAAGACCGTTAGGATGTTCAATATCGCCGAGAACCAACGCCTCGCCGGCTCGAGCCATGTGGTTCTGAACGTTTTCCGCGCCTTCAACATCATCGGCCTGTCGGCTGTCTGCGCCTCGAGCTGGGTCATGATTGTCATGTCCATCCTCAAGGGCAACTTTGCCTTTTTCGACTCTGTCTCTCACTTCTTCACCTTCTGCATCGCAGTTTTCCTCATCGTCTCCGAGCTCCCCGTCTTCGAGGGGTACTTTCAGCGTAACTGGCCGGTCCTCTCACTCAACCATGGTCTCAGCTGGCTGGGTATTGCCATGATTGTCATGGGTTGCCAGGTGCTCGCTAACACCTCCGAACCCGCCTTCTCTGCCGACACACTTGGCCTTCCGCTTTGGCGTCTTATTCTTGCCTCGGGCATCCTGGCCATTACCTTTGGCTTCTTCAACATCATCTCCGCCATCATCTTCCGCGATGGTGACCTCAACTCCCGCAACTTCCGCGCCGACGGCTCTCTCGCTTCGGCCAAGAGCGTTGACGGGTACTCGTTCCGCAGCAACTCCGTCCGCGAGGAGAAGCCATCCAAGTTCAAGCGCCTGACACAAATGACACCCTGGGGCAGAAACGACAACGGCCGGCCTGAGATCAGCCATCCGATTCCGGACATGGAGCGTGGATACACACCTCAACAGCCGCACGACTACGATGAGGACCGCCGCAGCCCCATCATTCCCAACATCGAGCGGCCGCTGACCACGCTGCATCCCGCTCACCGGGCCCGAGCCACCAATTACAGCGTCGCTTCAATGAGCCAGTTCTAGGGGCACTACGTACGGAGTCGTCAGTAAAGAAGAGTTAGATGGGCAAATGAATTGGCCTGAAAAGCATTGGTCACTAGGGAGTCGGCGTCGCGAGTCTTTCTTTTGTCGCTGGAAAACAAAATACCCGGGTATGGAAGGTCTTTAGCGAGGGATATGAGATTTGGGGATCTTTCTTCATGAGCGCCATCGGTAACCACTCTATTACAAGATGACAGATAATCTGGGAAGATAGAACCAGTAATTACAGTCTGATATACAGGAGATCAAAACCCTTCCAGTCGCATGTCGTGGTAGTAGACGTGTATCTGCTTTGCCAGTCGGTATCGCGTCCGGCGACGGAATCAATGGCCCTTGTCCTGCTTCATATTTCCTTCCACTGCATGTGTAGACGCGGTGCTGGTTTCACATGAAAAGAGGAGTGCAATTCAAATCGGAGCAAGGAAATGTAGCTGAAACCGTGTGGCAGACGAGGACAAATTGCTTTGGCTCGTCAGCCCGGCCGTGATGAGGCCCTCGACTGATGAGACTCCCGTGCCGTGCACATCTTATCGGGATGTCTCCTGTCGATCACGCCTGCCGGGGGTTTGCCCGCTTGCAAAACCCCCACCTATTGGAGCCCTGGTCGAAATTTTTACTGCTTTGTTTGGAAGAACCACTACGATCGAGAAGGCGACTGTGAGCACATATCAAGGCCAGTTAGAGCCCGTAAGCCTGATTCTAGAGATGTACCTGACAAGAAGACATTCAGGGGCACAAGCACGAAGCACACCACAGCCAGAGAGGACTTTACGAGGGAGAAATTGGGGAGTTGAAGTGTGTCACCACAAAAATCACATTTTAATCATTACGCCCGCCCAAAAGTTATGTAAAAGCTCTTTCAGAGAGTCTGTTTCCATTTTCGTATCGTAATTGAAATTCCCTGGTCAGACCAGAATACTCCAGCGCATGATACCAAGTGCGTCGCGCAAACGCGCGGCGGCAGTCCCGAATACAACCCAGAAACCACACCTGACGGCAGCAGGGCCCGATAGTACGCCAGCCGTCTTTTTCTTGTCGTCGTCGTTAAAGTCCCCAGTTGTAGTAGAAACAGTAGCAGCAGCAACAGCAACAGCGCTGACACGACGACGACCGCCCTTCTCAGAGCGGTGCCGCCTGTGTTGACGTTGATGGTGGGCGAGCCGCTTACCGGTAGCGCCAGAGGGAGAGGGTGTTGTGGCGCTTCCAGGTCTTTCTGCGGCCGGCGCGGGTCTTGTTGTAGCGGTGGCCCTTGTTGAGGCCGCGGGACTTCTTGCCGGTGGCGGTGAGACCGCGAGCCTCGCGGTGCTTGTGGACGGGGTTGACGATCCAGTTGATGCGGGGGTCGGTGCGGATGGCCTTGTGCTGGGGGTCGACGAGGATGACCTCGTAGTACTTGTAGGTCGAGTCCTGGTTGATCCAGTAGGAGTTGAGGACACGCAGGTTAGCGCAGCGGCGGCCGACACGCTCCTCGGCGGTGGCAGCGAGGGAGCGCTGGTACTTGAGCTGGTTGACTCCCTGGTTGGTGGGCTTGCCTGTTGGTGAAGCGTCATGTTAGCGTTCTGTGACGAGACAAAATTTTCTTCTGCCCTCATCTTCTTCACTCCCATTCCCGAACATCTCCTCCTTCCACCGGCAATCCTTTCTCTCGAGGGACAAAACGTACCGAAGGTAGCACCCTTGGCGACGGGCTTCTTGCGGCCTCCACGGCGGACGCGGACACGGTAGATAACGTAGCCCTGCTTGGCCTTGTAACCGAGGCGGCGAGCCTTGTCGGGGCGCGAGGGACGCGAGGCGCGGTGGATGACGTTCAACTGACGGAGCTATATTGATGCACTCTCAGCAAAAAGTTCAACGAGTGTATAGCAGGAACGCAAAGTTTTCCCAATCCTCTCCCGAGTCCCCGCACTCCCAGACCGACTTGTGCTTCTCAATCAGATTATTTCACCAAATCCCATTGAGAGCAGTCGACAGGAAGATAGGTCGTCGGAGAGGAGAGTGAAAAAGTCTTTGGCGTCCACATTTTCGGATTGGGTGATTCAACGTACTTCCCAGCAGCGAACGCGCAGAAGGAAGCGCATCACATCGGACTGCTTCTTCTTCTGGAGCTCTTCGACATACTTGAGGGCACCCATTTTGACTGCAACAGCGAGACAAGAGGTTAGCCGCTCTGTTTGATTGAGGAAATAGTAGAAAGAAAGTCAAGCCGACATCAATCAGGCTATCGAGGGGATCGCAGGGGAACAAACCAGCTTTTCACGTAAAATCCGGCTGCCGAGGTTTTGGTGAGGGTGGTGGTTGGAGTTGAAAAAATGGCTACGAAGAGAAAGTTCAATCGGGCAGTGAAATTTCGAAGTTCACAATGTGGGTGCTAGCCCCAAGCGAGATGCGCTAGTCCCGAAGCGGACAGAAAGACGGGGCCATACCCCGCTCACCGACAGGGCTCGGTGAGCACCAGGGCAAAGCAGGGCTTCTCGGTGAGGCCAAGTGCCCCACCCACCAAGCAGACGCTCGCCGCCTCTGTCGTAGTCTGTACCTTATCGTCGGACGTTGTCTATGCTATCGTTGCCAGTAGCTGTGCTATGCTCATCATAGTCCATTCAGTGTTATCGTGCTATTCATATCCGATATGTTCAACCCCCAATCCCCAAGAACCATGGGTTCTTGAACTACCACTCTCGTTATCGACAGCACCCCTTTTCACACTGATACCAATGCAAGTTTTGCGCCCGCCCAGTTTGAAAACCACAAGCTCCAAGTCTTGGTGAACACCGCATTGAAAGGATTGTACCAATTCCATGTCAATATTGAACCAATACCGACGTACTCTGCTCCATGGACATCGGTTTCACCTCCTCCGTTCGCCGTCAGGTGCAGAGAACAGCAATCAATCAATCGTCTGTCAGGCCCAGCCACTTCACCAGGCAAGCTTCTTCCAGTTTACTTCGATGATCTCGACCCTTTCTGTTTGGTGCTGCCGGGTGTTTTCACGCGGCCGGAGGAACTCAACCGCTTGGATCGTCTTGTCCTTGGAATATGATCAGCAAGTAGGTACTGAAACATGTCTTGGCTTGGAAATCTCACCCATCGTGGCCGGGCTTCGCATTCTCTGGCTCCGAGGGTTGGTCCTCGCTTGGCACAGTCTTTCCCTCAGGTGGAGAGACTTTCTTCGAGGCGTTGTGAGTTGGAGATTCACTTTTCTTTGCTCTAGTCTCAACAGTTCCAGCAGCCTTCTTATCAAGACTCGGGTTCCCCGAAGAATCCTCGTCAATAACAAGGGGGTTTGATTCGGTTGTGGGAAGTTTATACTTCGATCTGCCACGTCGTGACGGTGCTCTTGATTTGATTTGTTGCCGCCCATCTATTCCAGGTCAGATATCAAGTTACATGTATGGGGACCACGGGCAACTTGCCTGGACCTCTCCATGTGCGGTTCTTACCGTACTTGGTCAGGCTGACTTTTCTCCTTTGATCCTGGCTCCCGCCCCTTACCGGGCTGCTCCCTGTTTTCGCTGGGCTGCTCAGGGTGTTTGTTGTAGTAGTCAGGGTGTCTGTTGTGGCAGGTGTGCGGCTCTTCTCAGGCGCCGCGGTAGCTCTGGGGGCCTTATTGTCTTCGGGGGCCATGATGGCTTCAGCGCCGATGATGGCTTCCTCCATCGTCGCCAACCGGCCGACACGTGTTTAAGGATGAGAGCACTGAGGCGAAATATGCACACAAAAGAAGAATGGTTGATTGGATATCCTAATAATGGGGGATGTTGCTCTTTGGACGCGATGCCGAATGTGGAAAACGAACAAATGTTGGCATGAGATGAAGGAAAGCTGCACCTCTTCAGCAGGCGTGGCATCTACCTACCTACCATGCTGTTAGGAAAAATAGAGGAAGGAGGTGACGACACCCATGCAAAGCAGCGCTTTCCCGATTCCATTGTATTACAGGAGTAGAAGTCGCCACCCAGTCAGGGAGGGCAGCTGACCAGCCAAGGAAGCAACTGCCTTCCTGAACATTGCTATATGTCAGAAATACCTCTTAACCAAGGAATTAAGGAGGACAAAGCAACATAGGCAAGAACATCAATACAGACGATAAACATTTCAAGGATATAAGAACATCCTCAAGATTGTGTATCAATTCACGTGTGACCCCTCTCAGATGGCATGATTGATACCTGGGCATCGGCGCCACCATCTCCAAGGTCTCCTGCGAACTCGTCAACCAAATTGTGTAATCCTTATATTCTCAAAACCCAATGGAAAAGCAAAATCTTTCGTACAAGAATCCCACCGAGCCATTAACCAGAAACAAGTCCCTTTTTTGATTCTCAGGTTACACCATGCTCGTGCTCAAAAGTCTCTCTGTCTATGACGGTAGTGCCCTGAGTAGTAGTGAAAGTCTCTCTCAATCTCCTCTTGAATCTCTCATCATCATGAATGGGGGAGGCCGTGGTCCCTGCATCGCGAAACGCAAGCAAACAAAACAAGAGTGAAAGTGGTGTGTAGTTCAACATGTCTTCCTTTCCTTTTTAAGCCTTCTTTTGTCTTCCCAAAGAAGCACAAAAAGGTCCCGCCGTTTTGACAATTTAAGCAGAAAATGAGAACCATTCCAACGCCGAAAGTGAGAGAAATGCCGCCGGGCCTCTCAGCCACGGCCATGCTTATAATGCCTCGGCCATGCCAACCAGATTCGGATGTGTGGGTTCGATGTGGCAGCAACGCGTGAAGAAGTGGAATGGAAAAAAAAGATTAAAACTCGGTGCGAGAATCGACGAGTCGTAGATGAATGAGGTTGCGCGTCCAATATCGATAACTTTTCAACCGGAGGAAGAACAAGTCTTATCAGCGGCTGTTCAGAGACAGACCCTGGAAGGCAGCCGCCCAATCGTTTTGGGAGTTCATTGGAGCACCCGTATCGTGAGGGCCAGGTCCTTCCGGGGCCGGAGCAAAACGCGTGCGCATCTGATAGTCACCCGCTCCCTGGAAGCTGTAGCTGTCAAGCGAAGGCATGACTCCAGGTACGTAGGGCATGTTTCCAGGCCGAGGGGCGCTGCTCAAACCACCACCCATGTGGGAATAAGGGTAGTTTGGCTGGCCGTAGCCAGCGCCAGGTCCGGGCCTGTCCCCTCCGAAAGGTGGCGTGAATGAGTTCTGGAATCCACGGCCGGCAGGCCCAGCCCCGTTGAACCCTACAGGCTGCTGTTCCTGCTGCTGTTGTTGCTGCTGGTTGGATCGTCTTTCCGAGTTGTTTGAACCACGACCAACGCCGACAGCGCCTGGGCCAACGCCACTTGGTGCCTGAATGCCGAGAGTCGGGCTGGCGAAGGACGCCGGGTTGATGGCCGACATCCAGATCCTGGTCTTGTAGATCTTGAACAAGTCCGTAACGAGGGAGTTGAAGTTGATGTAGGAGTCGGCGAAGTAGTAAAAAGTCAACTTCTTCCAATCCCTGTGGCCGATTAGTTAGTTGTCCCAACAAACAGAAGTACAAATCACTTACATTTGGAACTCGGCATCGAGGATCTCCATATTGAGCCCATGCTCCTTGACCTTCTGCATGCAAACACGCTTGGCCTTGGCCTCGTTGCCCTCCTTGTCCCGCAAGGCATGGATCTCGTGGCTTTGTGCAAGGCGTTTGATCAGTTTCGGCTTGAGCTCTCCCGCGTTGGGCTCTTGCATATGATGCTGGTTCGGGGGACCCATGCCGCCAACAGCACTGCCTTGGAGGCCGTTTGCGGCCGCCATCAGGCCGGCGCCTGTGCCGTCCTGAGCGGCAGCGGCATTCTGCGAGTACATCATCAACCACTTGTACTGCTCCTCAGCGTAGTGCTCTTTCAGCTCCTTGGCAGTTTGCCAGTCAACATTGTCTCGCGCAACGGTTCCCAAATCAGTTCCTCGATCCGCCTCGACAATCACGAGATCGCCTGGTTTCACCGTGAGACCGGTGCCCTCCTGAATGTAGAATACATCGGCTCTGGCGCACTTGAACAAGACTATGTGCAGTAATTGGTTATGGCGCGGCTGTGACATGGCATAGACGTTACGATGAGGCGAGGGCGCCCGGTTGCCGTACTGGGTGGGGTGCATCTGAGGGTAAGGTGAGGAGAACGGGTTACTGAACATGCTCGCTGGGGGGGCCTGGAGGCTGCCACCAGGTGTGAAATACGATGCTATATCGCAGAGTCAGTCGTGTTAAGTCCAAAGCGACGTAGTGATGGACTCACCGGTATTGACAGGAAAATTCGGGTTCTCACCATAAGCAGCGGAGAAATCCACGGGCTGTTGCGGTTCTGCCACTGGCGTATCGAGCCCGGTGACGGTCTCACTGATGGAACTGATGGAACCTTGACGTGTCGGGATATCTGCAAATGAGTGTCTCCGACTCTGCTGCCCTTCGGGCCCTCCAAATCCGAGCGAGCTATGCCAGTACGCCTTCTTAACGTTTTCCAGCTTGCGATTCTCGTATGGGGAACGAAACGCGGAGACTCCAAACTCGCTCATCCTGCGCCCCATGGCCCTCTTTGCTGCCAAGTCAGCTCCTTCGTTAGCCTCGTCCAGCTCGTCAATAGCATAGTCGGATTCCTCTGGCACAGTCTCTCGGAGTGAGTAGCCGTTGCCAAGCCCGTACGCGGCACCAGTTGAAGCCCTAGGCCTGAGTCGGTTCTGATATTGCTGCTGTTGCTGCTGCTGTTGTTGCTGTTGCCGGAGCATGGCATTCTCACGCGCAAGAAGCTCAATCGTCTTCGCTTCGGCAGATTGATGCATCGAGCCTTGCATAGACTCGCTTGCGCTCTCGTCATCATCGTCGTCCACCTCCTTGACCTTGCCAAGCAGACCTCCATCATTTGACATCTCACTCAGCATGCTGGGTCGGGAGGGACGGTGCTGCAGACCAGAGTGACCATGAGCGCGACCACGGCCAAGGATCGTCGAGCTACTCATAGATGCGGGCGGCGCATCGGGTTCGAGCTGGCCGACAGAGTACGACTGGGAGCGGTAAGTCTTCGGTGTCGGGTGCAGAGGAATCGCAAACGGGATCTGAGCGTTAGGGGCGGAGTCTCGCGGGGCGGGCGAAGTCTGTCCGTAGCTGCTCTCGCTGAAAAAAGAGCCTCCAGCTGAACCAGGAGGCATCGTCGAGGTAGGCGAGGGCAGAACCTCACTCAAACGCGAAGGTGGATCCTTCCTGTCGTTGTTCCAAATACCAGTCCCCCAAGTGAAAGTAGATCCTGGCACCGAGGCCCGGCCCATGACGCCGGAAGACTGTGAATGAGAGCCCCAAGGCGCGTTGCCCTCCGCCGATGGGGTGCTCGGGTGGGAAGCCGTAGGAGACATAGAGCTGCTGGCGAAAGAACCCTTGCGTGGCCGAGGCAGAGGTTGTGTGGTATCGTTAAGCCAAGAGGCGCGCCTGACTGGTTTCTGAGGTTGAGACACCGGCTGAGGAAGGTCTTGACGGTGAGCGTCGGCCTCGTCGTCTGAGCTCGCCAGAGCTTCGGAATCAGGAGTCGAGCGACGATTAAGCTTATCAAGGAGGATGGCGTGGCTACTTGGAGCAACCGCCGAGAAGGTGCCCTGGCCCGGTTTGGAAGGCGGGCCGGGTTTGGCGGGGTTAGCACTTCCTCCAGAGCTCATTGTCCTACTACTCTAGTCAAGTGAGACCCGGACCCTGAAACCAACTCAGACAACAGCTTCCTCGTCGAAAGAAATGGCAGTGAACCACCTGCTGTGTGAGTGTCAGAAGAACAATATCTTCAAACGAAAGAATGAGTTCAGTGAGATGATGAGAGGACCCTGTTTCGGCCGGAAGTAGTAGAACAAGGATGAAAGGCGGTCAAGGCCGAATGAGCCTAGAATTTGTGTTAGCAGCTATGTCATTAAACGTTAAAAGGCAAGCGCTGTGAGACAAGATGAAAGAGACGAGTTTCGCCGCAAGCAGCTTGGGGTGTCACGGGAGCTGCGGCTCAGCTCTCGGGGGGTCCAAGCTGGCAGCCACTGGTATAGGGCAATTGGAATGCGCCACGAGGTCCGAGCAAGAGTCATTCAGAGGCTAGAAGGCCGAGGCGACTGAATGACAAAAATTGCTGAGTCCTCGAACGAGCCTCTTTAGCTACTCGTTCAACGATGAGCTGAGCCGAGGTGGAGCTGGTGACACGCACGAGGATAGACAAGACCGTCAAGTCAGACAGACGATGACGCCGCGCAGCTGTTGGACCAACGAGAGCAGTGAACCCGGTCGTCGGAGGATTTATCGCCTGGCGGCAGCAGCAGCAGCAGCAGCCTTGCGACATAGGTGTGTGATTCGCACAGCAAACGATTGAAAGCAGTAACGTACCAGACAGCAGGGATTTGGGTAGATCTATCGGCGGGGTATCAAAAGGCGCAACTTCTAGATATTGAGGAACGTGGATGATGAATCAATGAGATTGAAGCGGCAACAGTGGCGCGAGGTGTTGTGTTGTGTGTCGGTCGTGGGCGCAGTCGAGCTGGGAGCCTGGCCGAGGCGAGATGGAGGCAGCAGCGGCAACAGTTCTGACGATGTGGCAGTGGGCCAACGCAACTGCAGATGTAGGTGCAGGGAGCGAGAAAAAGGGCGTGTCCTAGAAGATGGTAGGCCTCTGAACAGTGTACGGTTTGGTTTGGGCGAGATGCGACTCGACGGGAAAGAG